GAGGTCCCAGCTCCCATCAAGCCAGGCGCTGCACAGCCCCACAGTCCTGCCCCGAGGAGTTCCCCGTGTGAACAGCCAACGGATGGAGCCAGGTCGGGGCTCAGCCAGATGGAGCCTTGTCGCCTTGTCCCTATTACTGGCAATGACCCCCTCTCCCCCATCCCTCCCCCACACCCCCCCCACACCCCCAGCCTCTCTGCCGAGTAATTTAGGGTCCATGGCAGATTTACAGGGGGCCAGCGTCCCTCACACCCTCACTCAGGAGTGATTAACCCAGGGGGCCCGAATGGGTGCACCCCTAGGGGACAGCACAGGGCCCCCCCCTCTGTATCTCAGCACCCGGAGTCCTCAGTCGCCTCCCCACCCCCACCCTGGGTTCTCTCCCCAGCGCTGGGAGGGGAGTGGGGTCTAGTGGATAGAGCTGGGGGGCTGGTAGCCAGGACTCCTGGGTTCTCTCCTCAGCTCTGGGTGGCGAGGTGGTCTAGTGGTTAGAGGCGGGGCGGGGGCCGGGAGCCAGGACTCCTGGGTTCTCTCCCCAGCTCTGGGAGGGGAGTGGGGTCTAGTGGTTGGAGCAGGGCGGGACTGGGAGCCAGGACACCTGGGTCCCATCCCAGCTGGGGGGATCTGACAGAGGGTCAGAGAACCCAGGCGTCCGAGTAACCCCCGCCCCCGCTTACCCTTGGTCGCTCGCGTCCCGTCCGCGCCCCGAGTCTCCCCCAGCCCCGCGCCAGGCTCAGCCTTTAAACCCCCCCCAGCCCCTCCCGGGCCCCGCAGCCAATGGGGCGCGGCGGGAAGTGCCGCTTCCGGCCGGGGGGAAGCGAGAGCTGAGAACCGGCTCCAGCCTCATAAACAGGAAGAGGCGGGGGGGTGGAGAGGAGGAGGCGAGAGAGAGACACGCGCACGCAGCCTGCGGGCGGCACCCGGAGGGGAAACTGAGGCACAGAGAACCCAGGAGTCCTGGCTCCCAGCCCCCCCTGCTCTAACCACCAGCCCCCACTCCCCTCCCAGAGCCAGGGAGAGAACCCAGGAGTCCTGGCTCCTAGCCACCCCCCTGCTCTAACCACCAGCCCCCACTCCCCTCCCAGACGCCAGGGAGAGAACCCAGGAGTCCTGGCTCCTAGCCACCCCCCTGCTCTAACCACCAGCCCCCACTCCCCTCCCAGACGCCAGGGAGAGAACCCAGGAGTCCTGGCTCCTAGC